CTACAGCATAGAGGTGGTCAGTAAACACACATCTGCATGTGTTCCCCGACCCAGATAGTGGTTAAACATGCCATAGATTCTGCTGTCTACAGCATGGAGGTCGTTAATAAGCACCCATGTGTGCATGAGCTCGCCTACTTGTGGGCTCATTTGTCTCCTCTGACAGTGCTGTGTGGTGAGGAGCCCTTGCTCAGGGATGTGCTCCCTCCACTGCGCTGCTGCAGGGACTGCACTGTGACGCTGCAGTGGTGAGGCAAGTGCGCTGCTGAGTATGGAGGTGTCAAACCAACAGAAAGGTCCAGAAAACACAGATGGTAACAACAGAGAGACAGAGGAACCGAAATCATTCTACCCTGGGGAGAAGGTTAACAGCTCTTCATTTGCCTTTAACGACCTACTTTTTGATCTTCCTGATTCTTCATCCTATTTCTTTACTCAGCCTATTTCCCAAAAGGGTTTGAAGCAGTTCTTGAGCTATCAACAAGAAAACGTCTCATTTTAAAGAAGAAAGGATAGTATACGATACATTTTAGACATATTCTATGAAAAATATTCCAGTTTTCTTTTTTTATTTTGGTGATGTCAGGACAGAACACTAGTTATATGAAATTGATTTATGTGCCATTTCTTGATGAGAAGAGAATATTCTTAAACAGCTTGCACATCTCTATAGAGCATTGATCTTTGGTTTTGGAATTGCCTGTTTCCTTATAAACAATAGATTGAAGATAAGTAAAAAAGCACTGATGGATAAAGAATTCTCAAAATAGATCTTTTAAAACAACCATGGAAACAGTTTATATTATTCCAGAAGATCACAATAAAATACAATTTTCTTTCAAAATTTCACTCAAGGAGTAAATGGGAATGAGTAAAATAAGTAAATGTCACATGGGGTATAGATGTCAGTGGGATTTTAAATGTTGATTCTAGATAAGTTAACATTGACTTTAAAGACCTAACCACCTTTAAAAGTTCAATGTTTTCAGCCTATGCACAATTGTTTCAGTAACATTTAAAGTCATATATTTTGCAGTATTTAAATTAATGAATATAGTTTTAGATAGGAAATGTATTTTATGGATTTTAAAGTTTCAAATCAACTGGATCCTAAACTTATCACACTAAAATTTAGTAAAGAAGATAAATGTAGCCATCACCTACATTTTTGAAAGAGAAGAATTGATTGTTTGACAAATATGTTTTTAAAACTTTGAAACTCATAATTCCTCTGTTTTTGCTGTTATTAGTGGCATAAGAAGGGACTGGCCGTATTATTCTGCATATTGCAGTTCTTATCAATGACCTGGTAAGTCTTTCCTTACCCTAGTAAAATGTTAAAATTGCCTGAGATGGGACAGGCATTTTGTTTGGAATCTGTAAAGCCCTAGCATTTCATCTGGTGATTCGGAGCTAGATAGGCCCTGCAGCGTCAGAGGAGGGGAGGTCTGGGATGAGTCCTGCTGGACTTGACAGCGTGGCTCAGTGGTACTGTTAGGGAGAAGTGTGGAGGTGATTTCACCACTGTGAGCAGGGTGCTGTGCTCATATAGTTACATAGTGATATGTTCTGCCTTTTTCTAATGTGAGAAAGAAATGGTAAGAAAAGTAGGTGATGACATGTAAATCCATAAAAGTGAGACCAAATCACAGGGTGAGACCAAGGGAAGATGAGTTTACCTGCATTCTCCACTCTATTGCTGGATAATTGCAAGGTAGAATTTGCAGCTGACTCTGCAATGTTGACTCTGTGGCCCTGATATCTGGAGATGTCTTCTGAATTGGCAGGGATTAAATGCTTGTTAAGTTACTGGTTGAGCATCCCAAATCCAAAGATCTAAAACTCTTTTTTTTTTTTTTTTTTTTGAGACAGTCTCACTCTGCACGATCTTGGCTCACTGCAACCCCTGCCTCCTGGGTTCAAGTGATGCTGGTGCCTCAGCCTTCCACGTAGCTGGGGTTACAAGTGTGAGGCACCATGCCCAGCCCAAAATCCAAAACTTGTTGAACGCTGACGTGATGCTCAGATGTGGTTGATGCTCAACCAGTAAACATAATGCAGATAGTCCAAAAATCCAGAAAAATCCAGTATCCAACATATTTCCCATCCCAAGCATTTCAGATCAGAGATGCTTTACCTGCACTGCCTTTCTGCTTTCCCACTCAGCTTTCCTAAATATTCAGTCTTGCCCTGGTTCCTGCTCAGACTCTCCTCCTTGTAGCCTTTTTGTGTCTTGCACTGCAAGAGTTCATCTGCATAAAGGCCATAAATATCTGAGCGACTGATTCAGTGTGCCCTGCGGCTCCCAGGCCCTCTCGTGTTAGAGAGTGAAGGTGCTTTTCCTTTTCCTTCAGAGCAGCTCATGCTTGCCTGCTCTCTTTTGCTTCCTGATTTTGCCATTTTACATTCCTCCTACTGGATGTTGCCCAGTTTGGGATCACCTTTTGTTTGGCCCTCTTTCCACTGACAGATGAAGCATCAATGAATGTTAAATGTAGTTCTCTGTATATCTCACAGTGACCGTATGATGTTCTTTACTGGTTTTCATTGATACGTGAATAAACTTAAATTTAATCTCCTGGTTATTTTCTCTAGTATTTTGCCTTTTATTGCCTAATCTGTACCTAATAATTGATTTATCCCTAAAGGAGACTATAATTATCAGTGTGGTACAGTTTTTCCTTTCTTATAAGAAGCCCAAACTTAGCATGCACCAGAATCACCTAGAGAGTTTGTTAAAGTGCAGGTTGCTTGCTAAAGCAAGCTTGTGATTTAGGAGGTCTAGGGTAGGGCCTAATAATTTGCATTTTTAACAAGTTCCCCGGTGATGCTCTCGCTGCTGGTCGGGGTCACACTTTGAGAACCACTGTACAGTCTCTTGCTGCTGTGTTTATTATAAGGTTAGACATGGCCATATGGCATAAAGAAAAACTCATTCTCAGATGAAGGTTCAACATGCTTGAATATTTCTTGCAGGTACAGCCTGTCGTACATCCCATATGCAAGGTGAGCTTGTTTGAATTCTGTCTGGTTTCCGGCCCTTTATCTTCACACAAATAAATGATTTAAGTAATTTTTACATAAAAATGTTATTTGAACAGCTTTTTGGGGGGCTGATGTTAACTTCCTAAAAGGAAATAAACATGTTTTCAATGAGATGAAGAGCAGCTTGCCATGATAGCATCTGTGTGGAAATATTTTGGCGACCTGAAGCAGCTCTGTGGGGAGTGTCCTCCCACCCTGCTGCCTGGCATGCAGTCGGGAATGTGGATGAGATTCTGGAGTCTTCCGTGGCTTTAGGAGTTCAGAAAATAGGATGTAGAGACCCCAGGAAAATAAATTCTACTTAAAAAAAGGAAGTTACAGCTGGGCGCAGTGGCTCACGCCTGTACTTTCAGCACTTTGGGAGGCCGAGGCGAGCAGATCATTTGAGGTCAGGAGTTCGAGACCAGCCTGACCACATGGGAAAACCCCGTCTCTACTAAAAATACAAAATTAGCTGAGTGTGGTGGCAGGCACCTGGAATCCCAGCCACTTGAGAGGCTGAGGTGGGAGAATCACTTGAGCTGGGGAGGCAGAGGTTGCAGTGAGCCAAGATCACGCTACTGCACTCCAGCCTGGGTGATAGAGCAAGACTCTGTCTCAGGGGGAAAAAAAAAGGGAAGTTACTGGGAAAATGAGGTTTACACATAATGCTTATTTTTAGCCAGCAGAAACATTTTAGTTGTATGTCAAGAGGTAACTGGCATTTTAAAATATTTTTCCAGAGAAATGTATTTATTTAATCATGGAGGAGAAAACAAAACTAGTTCCAATCTTAAATCTGGTAGATTTAAAAAAAGATTCTGGTGAGGCACAGCTTTGCCTTTTTGTGAAATTCAAAGGTATGTTCTATATTTAAAAACAGTAAAATTTTCTGCTTAATATGAATGATGAAGGAAGTTGGTAGAAATTTTATTTTTATTCCATTTTAAATGTATGATTCTTTCTGCTAGATACTTAAAAAGAGAAAAAGCAAAACAAAGTCAGCTACAGGTGACAAAGCTGCTTAATTAACAAGGGTGTGCAAGGGTAATTGACCATGCACCGGAGCTTTAGCAAGGAGACCTCCAGTATTTCTCAGTGCCAAGGAAAGATGCTCTGGACATGATGTCCCATACAGGAGGTTCTGCGAGATGGCAGGACTTGGAGAAAATGACCAGCCTCTCCAGACACTGAGGATCCTGCGCTCGAGAGCAATAAGCAATGTACAGAATTTGCCTATAAGTCTCAAATGTTATTAGTGGATATTTTTAATGGCCTACGTAAAAGTTTTTTAATGAATGAAAGTATCAAGAATAACAGTTTTGGAAGAAAATGTGAAAGGTCACGATTTAATCTTTTTAAAATTCTGAGGGTTCAGTTATAAACATTACACTTTGTTTTGTTTTGTTTTTTGTTTTTGAGGGAGTCTTGCCCTGTTGCCCAGGCTGGAGTGCAATGGTGCAATCTTGGCTCACCGCAACCTCCACCTCCCAGATTCAAGTGATTCTCCTACCTCAACCTCCCAAGTAGCTGGGTGGGATTGCAGGCGCCCGCCACCACGCCCAGCTAATTTTTTGTATTTTTAGTAGAGACGGGGTTTCACCATGTTGGCCAGGCTGGTCTTGAACTCCTGACCTCATGATCCATCGCCTTGACCTCCCAAAGTGAACATTACACTTTTAAAACTCAGTTCATTAGTTCTTTTTTTTTTTTTTTTTTTTTTTGAGACGGAGTCTCATTTTGTCACCCATGTCACTCAGGCTGGAGTGCAATGGTGTGATCTTGGCTCACTGCAATCTCCTCCCCCCGGGTTCAAGGGATTCTCCTGCCTCAGCCTCCCAAGTAGCTAGGATTACAGGCATGTGCCTCTACACTT